CTGGAGACGGCGCCGTGGGCGCTGCAAAAGGCAAGGGAGGCCTCGATCCTGCCCTCGTCTTCGCCGCCACCACCGCTCATTTCACTTATAAATACCGGGACCCCTTCCTCTGCGGCGGCGAAGTAGGGGATCTCATACAACCGAGGGCCCGTCCGATTCCCCTCGAGCAAATTCCACACCCGAAGGAGTTTCTTATTTTCATCTACTAGCCAGCACAAATGCTGGCCCGTGCCGGATAAAAACTCCGAGGGATCGAATCGTAGCCCGCCGATTTCGTAGATTAATTTCTCTAGAACTGAGGCGGGAACGTGCGAGATGCTGTAAGCTTCCTCTTCTACAAGGTCGTTGGGGCTAGCCGCATAAGTGGGATCTACCCGAGGAGTACGCGGTGGAAGGCTCAGACGCTGTGTGCGAGCAACCTTAGCCGGGGGCATAAGCGAAAACATTTTATCTTATTGTAATTTTTTTTCAAAAGAATAAATAAGTATTGATACACACAGAAGGGTAACTAATCTACCTAAAGTTTCCCTCTTTCCAATGTATACCACCCACACCCAGATATGTCTGTGTGAGGTTAAGATATATGTCTATGGTTTGTTCAAACGTCCTAAAAGAGAGTGCGATAGGCTAAAAAAACAATAGAAGAATACAAAGATGTAAAAATATATAGAGAGGTACCTTTACTAAGAATAAAACATTTTTAACCGTAAGTTGTATTAAGGGTACTGCCCCCCTCCCCTTCTTCCTTTTCCTCAAGGCATCACATGTGCTGTACATATGCGCAATGGGTTGTACTCGGAAGGGGTATCTCCCCTCTCCCCCCAAACAAGCAAACAAACAACAACAATACTTTTCCTTCATCCTTTCTTTATCAGTATATTATTATTATTAATATTACTATCGCCATTTTAAGTTCTTCTATGGATGTTCTATGTCATTTAAGCAGGCACATGGGCATCATGAACTTCTTTCCTGCACCTTCAAATCTCGTCCGGATCATTCTGCATATCATTCAGCATTTTCCGAAGAGGCCCTTCAAACTTATGATTGTATGACCGATTGAGTATCATATTCTCTAAATTTGGAGAGTCTTTCAGAGGGTCAAAACTCGACAAAGTCTCCCAGTCAAGAGGGCAGCAAAGCGAGCCTGTCCCTGCGTGTACACAAAAAGGGAGTTTTAATAGGTGATCCCGACGTGTGGTAACGTGTTCATCTAGACGAGGATACATCAGAAAAAGCTGCGCGGCGCATATAATTGGATGAGCCTCATCTTCATTCTTTAACGCACGTTTAATATCATTCAACTCCAACACTCCCCCTTCTTCGAAGTTGATTTTGCGCATAAAATCTATGAGAAGTGTTTTGCGATTCATCGTCAGGACTTTTTTCATCGCATTCATAACCACCGATGCGGATCGAGGGTTATGCTCCATGTTATTGGGGTTCATGTTGGAACCGATAAAAAGTTTCTCAAAACTTTTCTTGATACACTCTTCATAAATTCCTTCGATCGTTGGATGAATCTTGTGATAATTCACGAGATCATCGATGACACTACCCTTCGTGATTTTCGTTTCCACGACGGCGAGATATCCTACTAAGGCTGCGCGCTCATCATTCCGCATTTTACGCGCGCGTTTATCACACACCCAAAGATGAACCCCTCGCCTTCCGGAAAAAACAGGCAGCATGTGTTTAAATCCAAAGTCTTCTGAAAGAACTTTCCGCAGTACATTAATTGCGCAGGCGACCCATTCCCAGCAATACAAACAAATTGCCTTTCCACTACAGCAAGAGCGTACGCTATCGTAGTCGCTCATGTCGATATCAAAAACAAGCTCGCGCTCCTGCGGGGAAATATTCACGAAGCTTTGTTTCGAATTCGGGCGAATATTATACACGCCTCCAACGTCAATTTTTTCAGGACTGCACTTGATTAGCTCTTCGCGAAGCTCCTGGGCATTTAAAAAGCTGCGAAAGCGCGTGAAAATATCCCCGCGGAGGGTAAAACAGAATTCCCGTCGCGCGAGATAAGCTGCGGCATTCATCGGCACATTCCCATTTGATTTATTAATGGAATCAACTTTATCAGGATGCTCGGCGGGGTCATTTGAAGAGAGGTCATAGGCTAACCAAGTTGTTATCAGCTCAACGGGGAAGACGTGCTCGTAGAACTCTCGTAGGGAAGTTTCACTTAGCATTCGCCACACCCTTTTATATATATATATATATATTAATAATGATAGTAAAAGAGGAAAAGGCGGTAGACCCTTTTTCTGAACTATAAATAGATCGCTTGGCGTTTTGCCATAAACAAGGAGAATAGTAAGAAGTAATCTGCCTATTGCTAAGGCTCCAAGTATGTAGAGGGCTACTCGAAGGGGAGTAGCGTACCCAATTGTAGATTATGAACACCACCAGCTATTTATATAATAAAAGTTAAAGGAAAAAGAAAATAGTGGAAAGAGAATGAATTGAAGAGTTAACATAGATAAATATACCATTATATTGTTTCCTTTTAATAGGATATCTATTACTCTTCCGAGTAAGATATTTTTTTGTCATCACTTTCCATTTGCCCACAATGTCCAAAATAAGGGTATGGTAAAATAATAATAAAAGAGTAAGTTGAAAGTCAAATAGCAATAATAGTGAAAAGATATGTCATGATGTAAGTCAGTAATAAAATATAACTGAACATGCTTTTATCAACTGCTGGTGTGGAAAAGAGGTATTTCCAACGCATAAGTCAATCCCCTTCATTCTTTTGTTATATTCGTACATCATGTACGAAAGGGAAAAATTTACAATCCAAAATTCACGCATAGAGAAAAAAGAAATCATGTTATTGTTTGAAAAATTATTCAAAGAAAAGCCCTGCGTCGACACCCTTTGCTGTTTTTCTTTTTTTACATGATGGATGGGATATTATACATATATACATGCATATACATACACGGGCAATCCCAAATTTCTATTAATATACCTAAGGCTTATTTCTTTTGTATTATTTGTCATTATTATGATAATCTCAAACGCTTTACCATCTCGATTGACGGGATTCGCACATGATTTCATCAACAATCTTCGTGCGATATTTCCGCCATTTATTCTGTGCCTCATGAACAACACTGAGGTCGTCATTGGAGGGGTATCCTCGTACGTACTCTCGAAGCCGCGTGATGATTTTATCGCTGAATAACGCCCGGCAGTCGTCGTAACCCAGGCGGTAAACGATCGCTGAGGTTTTAGCGCGTACGGTCGCGATTCGCGTGCGGGGGAACTGGGCAAGGGTCGTTCGAAGTACGGAATTCTTTTTATCCGATCGTTCATTTTGCTGATGGTCTTCTTTATTATCATCTCCCTCTTCATCGACCACGCTGGCTGCTGCAAGCGAAGAAGGGATGGGGGGAAGAGGTGTGTCAGCACTGAAGAGGGTGTTGTCACAGCGATCCTCCTCTTTTCTATCCGTTTCCGTCAGCTTGTCCGCTGTTTTGGCCTTGACGGGAGTTTCTATCCCTTTCGGGGCGAACTTCGCGGTGGTGCCCGAGCAGAGACTCATCAGCGTCATCGCCGGGTCGACCCGGGCGGAATATTGCTTTAACAGGGCCTCCCTCCAGTACGCCTCTCCCCACACCACCCCCTCCCCCGGCCGCTCATTCGGATCGTAGCCGAGCAACTCCAGCTCCCCGCAGAAATCCCCCGCCGCCAGCGTCGCCACCTCAATCATTTTTTTTTTGTTAAATGATGATTCCTCTCTTCAGTCTCCCTATTAGACGTGAAAATCCTTTCCCCATAAGTTTTTTTTGGGGAGGGTTTGAGGGGTCGCCGTCGGGGGGCCCGCGCGCAGGCAAAGGCCCCGGCGACAACAAAAAACATTGCATCGGAGTCTTCGCCGCGCTCGATGAGGGCCTGCCCTTTCGCGAGCCGTAAAGGCAGCAAGCGCGGCGCCATCGCGCGTAATTCCTCCTCCACCCCAACAAACAGCCGCCCGCTCACGAAATTCGTATTATTTCGTTGACGATGATTTTTCTGGAGAAAGAACTCCATACAACGCTGCTGCTCGCGCGCTTCGCAGCGTTGTAGGACGCGCAGGATGGCCTTTTCCTTGGAGCCCATCCCCATTGGCCTCGACTCCTTTCCAGCCGATGAGATCCATTTGCGATTCCCACTCCCGCTATTGTTAGTATTCTCATTATGGCTGCTAGTTCCATTTCTGTTACAACTCTCATTATGGCTGCTAGTTCCATTTCTGTTACAATTCCCACTTCGGTTACCATTCTCACTCCCCGCGCAGTAGTTGATCTGGAGAAGGGTGCAATGGCTCGTGGTGGTATACCGCGAGCCGGGCGGGATGCCACGCGTGCTCAGAAGGTGCCCAAACCAGTCTTTCGGGAGGATTTCGTAGTGCCGTACGCGGCAGCTCGGACTTTTCGGACGATTCGAAAGCAACGAAAGCTGGATTTGCCCATGCAGGAGAATGTAAAGCGAATGAGAGGGGTTTGAGGATCCCTCCGCGGTGCTTTTCCCGGTATTTGGGAGAAGAAAAGACGAGGAAAGGGGAGCCATTCCGCTTTCTCCATCAGAGAGGGGGTGTCGTTTGTTGGGTTCTGCTTCAGAGGGATCCTTCGGGGATGCCATCGCCTCGCTCGCTAGTGGATTGGAGGGGTTGGCTTCAAGATCTCCACCTTTCGTGAGACTTCTGGGCTGGCTACTATTTTTAATAATGCTATTAATGTTGTTGTGCGCATTATTTGAGGAGGATGTGGATAAAGCGGGAGCTTCATGCACAACTACCCCCGAAGCGATGGAATTGATCGTCATTTCCTCCATTAACAACAAAAGTTCGAATTCCGAAAGTTCGTTAAAGAAGGGAATGCTACGGAGAAAAGCAAGGATTAACGTGGTACCCTCCGCGGTAGGGTACGTAGAATGATATTGTAAATTATGCGCTACATTCCTTAATGCGGACTGGCTGCTAAAATCCTGTGTATAATTAATATCACTCTTGCCTTCAAACGCATTCGTGTGATGACTCATCAGAGTGCTAAACGTTCGTGGGTATTTTTTAGACACACATCTAGCGGATCGCAGACGATTCTCGCGAACAATTTCCGTGTTTTTGCAGAGTGCTTCCGTAAGCGGGGCGAGGTAAGCGGCAACCTCGGGGTGGAGTTTAGCGATAGATAAGTTTAACACGGGATCGTCACTCTCTTTCAGCGGATTTTGTAATACCTTTTTAGATGCCGTTGATTTTGAGTTTACATGGTTCATTTTAAACTCTTTATTCCTTTTGTTAGGGATATCTAACTAATAGGTAATAACGGATAAGAAAAAGCCTACAATTAACGCTAAGAGGAAACACAGGATATAACTATCTATCTGAATACATTCTATTTATAACCTGGAAGTTTTTCAGTAATTTATTGACTGTATTTTCACTGAATTCCATTATATCTACAGAGAAGGAATGAAGAAGATCATATCTGTTGAAGGTATTTATAATTTACACTCCAATATAAAGGTGTCACACCTTTTTTCTTTCATTTCACTGCTCACTCGTCAAAATAATGTACAAAGCAAACATGTTTGGTAATAAATTACACTATAGGTATTCTGCAGAATGATGATCAAAGATAAAGCGTGGAAAAGGTCCCTAATACTAGGGAGATGAAAAAACCACAATATATTTTGCTCACAAACTAATACGCAAAGAACACTGGGCCAACAAGTTGAATATCCTTCAGACTGTTCATTGGAAATATTTCTTGAATTAATTAAACGAAAAACAATAGAATAAAAACACCGCAAAAAATATTTTCTGATAATGCCGGAATATAAACCTAATAATTCGAAAAACGAAAAACCAAGATGTTAATTGAAGAATCAGAGTGCACACTTTATATATTCCGCAAAGAGAAGATTTCATATGTAAATATCTATTCCAAGATAATACTCCACCACTTTTCGAGCTTTATAAACATAAGAATAAAAAAGAAAATATTCAAGAAGAAAATTTAAGTATTATCTAAAAATTTTCTAAGTAGAATAAAATCATAACAAGTAAATATTTTAAAATAAGATCTATGAGTATATAGATTAATATGTGAACACAAGAATTACTCTGAAGAAAATAGGATTTTCTACTTATTACGCATAACCCATCTCTCCAAAGGGGAAGACTTGTAAAGGGACTTTCTAGACCGAAAGTCTGAGCGATTAAGATTAAGATCAGATAAGAAACGAGATTCAGACGAAGGCTTAGGATGGACTAGTAACAACGACGAGATACGCCTACGAGCTAAAGACTCATTTTGTATAATAATGAAACGCTCGTCGTATTCTTCATCAAAAAATCTTGAAAGCAATAGTAAAAATGAAGGAGAAGAAAGCAAAGGCTTTGTGCGCACGAAAGAAGCCATCTCACGTTGTTTACGCACGGCTGC